CGGCTGGTCGGTCTGAGTCTCTCGTTTTATTTCAGTTTACATGTATCTGTGGGTGACCAGAACCCGCAGAAAAGTCAACCTTTGGTTGGTTTTCGATTATGTATCTCACATTCGTTGAAAATGTTCATTTGTCTCACAAATTTTAAAGAGGGTTGAATTTTAGTTTTGAATTTAGTATTAAATTACGTAGTACTGTTATCTGGTGTCTCTGATAGCTGTGTGGGATTTTTAAGACTGTGAAGTTCTGTTTCACTTTGGTACGGTGGTCAGTCACAGTTTTAGCAGCCACTTGCAGGAAAAACACTACTGCGTCATCAAGACCCTACCTAAGGCCGGCACCTGCATAAATGTTGTCCCAACCACTTGAAATTTGGTTTCCTTGTTGGAAACGATGTTTCAAGTTTCCTTTTCAGAACACAGTGAAGAGGCACCGAAAAATATTACACTTTCCAAGCAGCAAAAAGAGAAATATGGATCTACATGTATCTTGATCCATTACAAGCACTATACGTGTAATGGTGAAGAATCGGTTTCTGTTTATGTTGATGGTGTAAACGGAATTCAGTCACACGCACAGAATCATTTGATCTGAGCATACAGTGTACCACCACTTCGTGCCAAGTTTCACTTTGATCACCGTAAACCTGTAATGTGTGGCCCATTTGTTCTCCGTTTTATTTTCAGGATTCCTCTGTACAAGATGCGCCGTACTCGACGCATTCTTTCTGAGAATGAGCTGACATGGAAGCCGTCAAAATACTCTGCCTCTCCGAATGGCACCGTCAGAATTGTTGATTACATGGATGTGAGTTAGAGAGAAAATTCTTATTCCCAATTTCCCGCAAGTTGTACATGTGACTTCTCTGACAATCAGCCAATCTGTATGCCAGGCTTAAACAGTCATTGTTCTGAGTTCTGTTCCCTTAGTTTTGTTTTGCAATATTGACGATTCACAACACAGTGCGTAACCAAGGGTTGCCATAGAGAGGCAATTTTTTCTAATTTACGGGCAAAAATATGGGGCAAACTTGCTGCAGTTTGCATGTCAGCGAATGTCGTTTAGCAACTTTAGGAAGTTTTGATTGATTGGAGTATGTAGCATGATATTACACCGATACTGAAAAGAAAATAGAAGAGATAAACCTCAAATCCCCAACACAGAAAAACAAAAAGAAGAAAGACTTTCAATCTCCCTATGCAGAAAAACAAAAGAAGAAAAAAAAAGTCAAATTCCCAAGGTAGGAAAAAAAACAGAAGAAGAAAGAACTTTCAATCCCCCGATGCAGAAAAACAAAAGGAGAAAGAACTTTCAAATCCCCAAGACAGAAAACCAAAAAGAAGATAAACTTTCAAATCCCCAAGA